AACCAGGTCTTATATACATACAGATCCATTCATCGCACTAACCAACAGATAACAAGAGCCAATTTGTTCAATATGACAAATGTATGACGACAGATGAAATCTTGCTAGGGTACAACGTCATTTAAGTTTTTCGCAATTATTGTTTGAACTTGGCTCTTTGAGGTTTGATATTAATAAAAAATACGCATTTATGACTACATCTGCTGATACCCAAAGTTATGTGCTATGAATCTCATAAATACGACTTTATTTTGCCTTACAAACTCTAATTTGGCTGCCCTCAAGAATAGGCTTCCTTCACAAGTCGACGACCTGGAGAAATTAAAACTTGAGGAAATTTAATTCTTTCATTTGAATGACTGTATCCATCCTATTGTCCCAGACACTGCACTTAAACCTATAGAAGAAAACAATAGCGCGCCACTAACCCACTTGTCGTCCGATACTCACTTTCTAGCGCGAAAAGTGAACAAACTTACATACTGTTTAGTTGTTTCCTTATATGAGCCACACAACAGTCTGGTATCTTATTCGCAAACAGGCTGAAAACACAGATTTACAGAATTGATGGATGCGACACGCTATTGGTTTATTGAAGAGATGTCAGGCCATAAGATTGAATTGTTAAATGACCTTCAGTTCAATGATTGGCTTAATAACGTTGAAATTCACAAAAAGTTGAATTTCAATAGAAATCGAAGGTTAGTCATCAATCAGAAATTTAGTTGAGTATGTTTATGTCTTAAATGTTTATATATGTTACAGAAAGGAAGCCGTATAGTGAATAAAATCTTGCTAAGATCACTGAAGCTCTCATGGGAGTTAGGGTAGACGATATCAATGGGCTTACTGTTCTCAAACTGAGTATGATTCTAATATTTTCGTTTCTGACATTTTAGCTTTCTGTGGAAAGAGTACATATTGATACATTTATATGTTCATAGGCACAACTTCCAACGATATTTTGAGCGGATTCTACGCAGAAATTAATGCTAAACTTGGCACATCCTGTAGGGAACCAACGAACCGATTGTTCGGGTGTTTATTCTCCATTTATGACTCGAGTTGTGATAGCTCTGCAAACGAAGGAATCTTTATTATTATTGCTACTGCGTGCTGAATATGAGCTCAGGATATGGGCCAATTAATTTTTATCATTCTTGTCACGGAAGCAAAAAATGAGGACTTCTGTGCAAAACATCATCGCACAGCTTCATAGTGCTGTTGAGGTAATCCTACTTTTATTTACACTTCATTATTTGTTATTTGTCATAAAATGCTTTAAATGGACCGCTATTTAATTAATGATGACCGATACATAAAGGGTTGAAACTTTTTTTGAAAATTTGGGCCGTTGTGAGGGCGAGGTCTTATATGGGTGACCCCCTATTTTGCTGTGTTGCAACTACCAAATAAAACCTAGGACGTTCCACTAATATGTACGCGGTTGTACAAATAATCGACAAATCGACATCATAATCAATGAAAGTTTTTTTTTTTAAAATCTTTGCACGAAATGAATATCGTAGTTGATTTGTCCTCACGCCTTTTATCGGCCTATGGGAAACTTTACGAAAGCGGAAAATACAGTGAACTCTCCCTAAATGCACTCTCCCTAAATGCACAGTCTCCCTAAATGCATGCTATTTGATGGTCCCAACC